AAAATAAATGGGTACATGAACTATGCTGGCACATGAACTATGCAGGTACATGACTAAAAATAGGAGATTAATAAATCAAGTTTATTTTTCCAACACCCCCTCTTAAACTTGATCACCTTTAGTCACTCCAATCCAAGCACGCAGTCTTGCAAAATCTTCAAACTTCAATGCCTTAGTGAAAATATCAGCAATTTGATCATTGGTCTTCATGTAGGCAAGCTTTACATCTTTCCTCTCAACGCACTCCCTTATGAAGTGATATCTGGTGTCTATATGCTTGCTTTGATCATGAAACATTGGGTTCTTTCCCAAAGCAATAGCTGACTTGTTATCTATGTAAATGGTTGTAGCTTCATCTTGAGGTATGCGCAGCATCTCCAACAACTTCCTTAGCCAAATTGCATGATAGACACATGATGCAGCAGAAACAAATTCAGCTTCACAAGTAGAGAGAGTTACAATGGGTTGCTTTTTTGAACACCAAGTGAAAGCAGTGTCACCCAAGAAAAATAGAAAGCCGGTGGTGCTTTCCGATCATCAACATCACCACCCTAGTCACTATCACTGTAGCCATAGAGTTGGAAATTTGTGGAAAAAGAATAAGTTAGGCCATAATCAAGGCCATAATCAATAGTACCTTTGATGTATCGAAGTACTCTCTTGGCCATCTTCATGTGTGTTGAAGTAGGTGCCTCCATGTACCGACTCACAAGACCAACACCATAGAGAATGTCTGGTCGTGTGCAAGTCAAATATCTCAGATTTCCAACAGGGCTTCTATACAGAGAGAGATCCACCTTTGTACTTTCATCGTACTTCGACAGTCGAGTTCCACAACCAATGGGGGTGCTTACCGGCTTGCAATTTTCCATTTCAAATTTCTCCAGAACTTTCTTTGCATAAGCTTCTTGAGAAATAAAAATCCCATCTTCATTTTGCTTTACCTCAATTCCAAGGTAGTAGGACATGAGACCAATGTTGGTCATCTCAAATTCTTGAGTCATTGCCTTCTTAAATTCTTCAAACATGTTTGCATTATTGCCGGTGAAGATCAAGTCATCAACATACAAGCACACTAACATAAAGCCTCCAGTTTTGTCTTCTTTGACATAAAGAGCATGTTCATGTGGACATTTGGTGAAGCCATGGTCTTGGAAATATTTGTCAATACGGCTATACCATGCCCTTGGCACTTGCTTCAAGCCATACATCGCCTTCTTCAATTTCAAGACTTTGTCTTCATGTCCCTTGACAACATATCCCAATGGCTGTTGAACATACACTTCCTCTTCAAGATAGCCATTCAAGAAAGCGGACTTAACGTCCATTTGATAAATTTTCCACCTGTTTTGAGCTGCCAAGGAGATAATCAACCGAATGGTTTCCAAGCGAGCAACAGGGGCAAAAACCTCATCATAGTCAATGCCATATTTCTGGATATAACCCTTTGCAACAAGCCTTGCCTTATATTTCTCCACTTTCCCTTGAGCATTTTTCTTCACTTTGTACACCCACTTCACGCCAATTGCCTTTTGCCCTTCCGGAAGAGTCACCAACTCCCATGTGCCATTCTTTTGGATTGCTTTAATCTCTTCATCCATTGCATGCTTCCATTTCTTGTCTGCTGTTGCCTCTTTGAAATTTAACGGTTCGATGTCAGCAAAGAGACAAAAGAAACTTGGATTATCAACCGCCTCAGTTTCGTCATAAAAATCAGCAAGATTTTTTGTACGTAGTGGCCCTTCAGAAGAACAATCCTCAGGTGATTGAGATCCATGAGGAGAGTGAGGTGGAGTAGCAACATCTTGCCTTGTGTCTTGTCTGGATTCTCCTTCTTGCAAAGGAAAGATAACATATTCTTCATTATGAGAGACATTCCAATCCCATGAGCTTCCTTCATCAAACTCAGCATCTCTACTGATTACAACCTTCCCATTGGATGGATTGTAGAACTTGTACCCTTTGGAGCTTGAATCATAGCCGATGAAGACAAATTTCTCACTTTTTCCATCAAGCTTGGATCTCTTCCCATCTGGAACATGAATAAAAGCAATACTTCCAAAAACACGAAGGTGAGAAACATTAGGCTTCTTACTACTCCAGGCTTCTTGCGGTGTCATACCTTGAACACTTTTTGAGGGAGAAATATTAGACAAATACACAGCACATGCCACTGCTTCTGCCCAGAATTCCTTGGGCATATTCTTGCTCCTAAGCATGCTTCGAACCATGTTAAGAATGGTTCTATTCTTCCGCTCGACGACGCCATTCTGTTGCGGGGACCTCGGAACAGTGAGGAAATGACGAATTCCATTTTTTTCACA